AACATTATATAAATTATTTTTTAATAAAACTAACTTTTTTTAAACTTTGTTGAATAGACAGGTTTGGCGCCTAACCATCCCTATATAAACAATTTATATAAAAAAATATGTTATTTGTTTATATATATTGTTTATAAAATGTAAAAAATCCATCTATAAAACGTTTTATTCAGGATCGTATGGAACATAAGTAAACTTTTCTAATAATTACAAGTCTTTTTTGCTCAAGCACTTTTGTTTTGATGTTTAAGTAGGTTAAGTGATTAGTAGGTATGTTATATTTAAAATATATTATATTTAAAAAAATTGACAATATTGAAAACACAAAACATATTGACATCCAAGTGAAAAATTTGAAAATTATGTCATCTTGTATCCGCCAAACCCAGTAATAAAAACAGCTTAACTGTAAGATTCAAAAATCAACGAATTTTAAATAAAAACAGCTTAATAAAAAGATTTTAAAATTATCTGATTCTTGGATTATGGTATGAGCGCCAACTGTACTCTAAAATGACTGAAAATATTCCATGCGACCTGTTCCTTTTCATATATCATTTATCAAGCAATAAGTAAGTTTCATTTCTTTCTATTAAAAGTTTATTTATTGTGTTCTTTTTAAAGGTTTAATTTTAATTCAGAATTAACATAATTATTGTTTTTGACAAAAGAATAAAGACTTCTATTTTATTTTAGAAATGAGTAATCAAAATAGAGGTTTGAATATTCTTTTTATCTAGGTAATGGGGAGAGAGAGTTGCAACAGCTTTGTTTTATAAGAAAATGTGAACGAAAGTGTATCTTTAAACAAAGGTGTATCTTTGAACGAAACTGTATGTTTAGTGTATTTTTATTATGTATGTAATATCAAGATTTGTAATAATAAATATGTAATACCATGTTTTGCAGTTTTACTTGCATTACGACAACATCTTTTTAATTTTGATCTGTAGCATTTATTTTTGTTTTATACAGTCTTTTGCTTTTTAAATAATTTAAAACTTAAGTTAAGTAAGTTGCAATATGGTTGAGCATTGAGCATGCCGACATACGGAGGTAAATATCGGAGTTAGAGTCTTGTCATTGGAATTCTTTTTTTTTTTTTTTTTAATTTTTTATTGATTTTATTTAAAATACAGAATAAAACATTTTTAAAAAAGAACTATGAAATTGTTTTGTTTTGCGCTTTTAAAATTAAAAAAAAAGCAAGTTTGCCATGCAGCTTCTAAACTTTTTTTGAACAAAGTAAGGAGGTTTAAATAAAATGTTTTCATTAAGAACATGACTTAAAATTTTGATTTTATATAAAATAAATCATTTTTATCAACTTAATTATTCTAAAAAATAATAAAAGTTAAAATTACTTATTTTAGGATAATAAAGTAATTTAAAGTTTTATAACTATTTTACAACGCCTCTGCTAAACATTCAAAACTTAGTGCTAAATGACGGAACTTAGATAGCACCGTAAAGAGAAATTTTTTTAAGTAGTAAATTCAGAATTTTTATTCCAAAAAAATATACGTGGTAATAAGCTCTAAGTATACGGAAAAGATGCGTATGTAAACTTTCATTTTTGCTCATAATCTATTGTTCACTAAATAAAAATTTGAAGAAATATAGACAAAGTTAATAGAATAGTCTCTCTGTTTATGAGAACAACAAACTATTTTATAAATCTCTTGTAAGATCCACTTATATAAGATACTCTTATAAGATCCGTATACAGAAAAGATGCGCATGTTAATTTTTTTTGCTAATTTTATCTGAAATCGCGCTTAAAGAAATTTTTTGGAAACTTTTAGATAATTTTATTTTACCTAATAATATTAAAGTTAAGATATGATTTGTGTGGAATATATTAGTATAGATATTGTCGCTTTGGTAAAAACCCGTATTTTACTGGTTAGGAAAATTAGGATATAGACATAAAGAAAAAGAATAGAAAAGGTCAGTGTGGAATAGAGTTTCAAAGACCCGTGTTTTTACGGGTCCGTTCAGATGAAACTTTTTACACGTTTCAAGCAGGTATTTAGAAAGGTATCCAATTGGTGATTTACACAACGTAACGCTACCGTAACATTTAAAGTTTATTAAGGTTAATTATAATAGAAATTTTTATTTTTCATTGATTTAAGAAGGAAACAACAATGATAGTTTTTCTACATGTATATAGCTTTTTTTCTACAGCTCGCTACAAAATAATATTACAAAGTAAGGAATAAGTATAGAAAAAGGGGCGTGGAATAAATTTACCAAGACCCGTGGAATAAATTTAAAATTTATATGGAATAAATTTGGAAAAATGCGTTATGGAATAAATTTACCAAGACCCTTGTTTTACGGGTCATGACAGCTAATATATCTATAAAATAAGAAAACTTTATAATTTTATTTTAAATTTTAGAAATCTTTTTTGCTAAATTATTGTTAATTAATAATTTAGCAAATTAAATACTTATTAATGCTAAATCATTATTAAAAAAATATCAAAGTTTAT